TTTTGGCATGTCGATGTGGTACTGATCAGTGCCGCACTCTAACACAAAATTCAGCATAAACAACCATAATAAAGAACTAATTAAATTGATTAAATAAATTATCAGTGCGGCACCCATGCGGCACTGATTTTACCAGTGCGGCACTCTTTCAGCAGAAATATATCGGCACCGGTGCGCACGGGTGCCAATCGGCACTGGTTCGGCACTTGCTGAGCACGGGTGCGCACCGGTGCCAGTGACCGATGGCATGCCATGCGCACCGGTGCGCACTGATTTTTACCAGTGCCGCACTGGAATTTTTTTTATAGGGTTATTGTTGTTGATAATATCAGATCGATTGGCAAGAACTGTTCGCATCTAAAAAGAAAAAGCACAACATAAAGTACACTGCAGTTAGCTTCGCAACAGATCGCTGACTGTTGCCTAAACCAGAAAACTGTCTAATTTTTAGAAAAACTTTGTCCGAACGTCATGCTTTGCCCTTCACGCCATTTTTCAGTGATCCACCGCTGTTCTTTTTGATGAATGTACTTTTTCTAACGAAATTCTTAAGTATAGTGCCGAATCAACATACCTTTTCTTTATCCCATGATGTAGGGGCTTTTGTGCCGGTCTTCTGTATACCCGATTCTTTTTTCGTCGCTTTTCGAACCTTCGACAAATTCGGCCTCTTCACAATCAATGGTAATCGTTGTTTTCTTTTAACAGCTAATATATGCAGACAGTCGCTTTTAACGTTCTTCAAGTTGGCAAAAGAACATGTACAATGATAAAAAAATAGTTGATTGTCACTCATTTTTGTAGAAACGATATTGAAATCATTTTTCGATTTTATTTCAACAAGAAAAGTTCCTAAAAAAATAAAGCAAAAAAAAGATTCTTGAAACATGTACAAGAAATTCTAGCTCTATCTGTACCTGTACTATCATCATATCGTATACTTTTATTAGGAATAAGAATTTCACTTAATTCAGAAGCATTCATCGGTTTCTGACGAGGTTTGGAAATGACAGCTGGACTACAGTTTTCGGAGTCTTCACCATTTACTGCAGAATAGAAAGGTACGGTCATAGTTGAGTCCAGAGAAGTAGGAATACTGCACTTACACTCCTGCACATCATGATTACTTATTATACAATCAACGATATCTTGTGACGGAACGATATCTTGCTTTTCACGCTTTATCAAACATTTTTTCAGTTATTTTCTTTTTTTGTTTGTAAACAGAATTCTACTCTCCTTCTTCTGATAACTTTTCTTTTGTGATATCTTTTTTTGGAAGAGTACTTTTTGTTTGAAAATTTTTGTGAAAATTTTTGTAACTTTTTTCTATACCACTTTTTCGTACAGATAGATTTTTTTTGTTTTGTGAAAATTAGAATATACTGAATGAATCAAATCAAATGAGGCAGCTAAGTATTAAATCTCAAATAGAATTAGGATTATCTCTTCGGTTTTTAGCAAACTATTGTCGGTTTCATCACTTTCGACCGTTATTAACATCGAAAGCATACTAATTTTTGAGCTAGCGCTTCATGATCTTAGCCTGTTATCTCGTACTAAATATTGGAACTTGCCTGCTTAAAACGCTTATTGATTCTGCATCGACTTAAACCATGGGATCTCCCAATAACATAGAGTTTGCATATAATTTATTCCTTTTATTTCTGCAAATAAGAATTTCCACCTCTATGACTCTCAATCTCGGCCGGTGCAAAACGGGTTACTTTAAAAATCCAGCAAGATCTGTTGCTTTAGTTTTTCTGTGTACGGATTCGACATCAACATTACAGTAACGGGTGGGCCATAAATAATGTCCCTCTCCGTATTTTGCTTATAACTTGGTTTGGGTTTGTTTCCAAGACTCAATGTTTTTTTTAAAAGATGCGCTGCGCAATTCTCTACAAAATCATAGCT